GTAGGCGACACTATTATTATATTATTATTATTTAGTGTTCTGTCTGACGACAGGTCCATATGAACAGGATCCTTCCATCCTTTTCTCGGACTGGGACCTGTTCATATACGTTCTTGGCAGATGATCCAGAAGTGGTTTGCCATTGCCTTCTTCTGTGTGTGAATGGAGTAATTGTTGGGATGCCACGGAGGAAAACTCCGTGTTGCCTAGACCACGGCCTTGCCCAACACAAGTTATAAATTCGGGCACTGCCGGGAATCGAACCCGAGGCCCCCAGGATTACAAGGCTAGTGTTCTAACCGCTAGACCATCGTGGCTGTTAGGCGACACTAGCGCCACTTAATAAGTGATTCTGAAAGTGGTGCTTATGGGAACAAGTTTCATAAAAATATATCACTATTACTGCAGAAATTTTTCTGTAGAATATAAAAAATCAACATGGTGTTTGATAACATTAACTAATAAGATATTCGAGTTATGCTTACGAAATTAGGTGTAGTCATAAGAAAAAGGTAGGAAACTTTCAGGTTAATTTACGTCCAACAAATTAAACGTAAACTTATTCTGTGCTTCAAAATAATATTAATAATGTTTACGCATTTAACAGCTCCAAACAATAGGTCTAAATACTTTAACTTGGAAAGAGAATTCTATCGTATGACAATGTATACACTAGTTTTACCTGACAGCCAGCACTTAAACTGTTCTTTTTAGGTTATGTTTTCATTATTAAAATAGACTGCTAACAACTCATCAAATTTGTAGATCGTAAATTTGTGGAGTATGAAACTAGACACGAATACCGCTCGACATTGATTGTTTATCTACGTATCGTAATCGACTGTTCGGCCAATATCTTGTACTACGGGTCTGTCAGATGCTGTATATAATTCCTTGGATATGTCCTTAACATTTTATTTATCTTTTGAATTTGGACACACAATTCACTTATTCATTCGTTCATTGGAAACAATTCTATAGTAGTTTAATATTTTACCACAAAATAATCAGGCTGCTTAATTGTATAATTATATTTACGTTTGAAAATTATGTCCTTGAGGGTTCTGCCGCCGTGTGGACTGCCAACGTTTCGGAGAAACGTACTGTTTCCATCTTCCGGGCGCCATATGACACCAGAACCCAAAAGAACACTATTATCATTGTCACCGACGCGAAAAACTAAGATCTCAGACACGTTTATAATTTCCCCCATGGGTAAATTATACTTTAAAGACCAATTATTTTGAGGATATTAAATGTTATTTTTAATAAAATAAACTTTAATATAAAATGTTAAGAAATGTATTGTGTCATTTCACATATTTTGATACGAAACAGAAAAGTACCACAAAGAATCTAATTGAAACTTTAATTTATGTGATGTGGCGTTACAGTAAGACAAGGTGCGTCACACATTTCTTTCTACCCTGCTTTCGTAATGGACAGGATCGTTTCCTACTACACCCTTTCTAATTCATGATTCATTAATCGTCTCATCCTTTAACTTCGTACTCTACTGACAACTTCATTAAATAAACCACAAATGAGACAGCGAACAACTGACAAATCAGTTAATTAAGAAAATTAGATTTCTTCTCTTCACTTGTCAGGGACTTTTAACTAACAACAGCTCGTGACATAGAACAAGAGAATTTCTCTCAGACTGTACGAAAAGTGGCGTAGATTGTTATCGGCTTAACATTATCGTTGGTAATAAATCACTTGTTTAATTTAACCGTATATCCCTCGCACCGTAGCTGATAAAAATGCTGAGTTCGCCGATTGATTGTACTTTGAACGAAACTTCAAAATAAATTGCCTGTGTGATCATTTTCTCCCATAATCCCACTCAAACTGCCTACAAACGCAAACCACATCCAACTCCCAACATTCCCCTGCATAATAATAATGGTCTGCGGAGAAATTTTACAACCCATACGTGAGTAAAATTAATTTATTCGGTAGGATGAGAAAATACCATTTATGAATAATTGATATAATTCGCGTGTGTCCATTGGAGTTTCGCTATAGATCCAACGATAATCTGCACTGCGCAAGATTTTGTACGATAAATTGAAATGTAACGTCAACCCAGGTTATATAACTTCATAGCTTAATATAAACTAATATAAGTGTCTATTACGCGTTAAGGGTTGGTTATAACACGGAGAGTTTTCCTCCTGGGGCTTCCCCGGTTTCTCCGTGGCATCCCAACAATTACTCCATTCACACACAGAAGAAGGCAATGGCAAACCACTTCTGGATCATCTGCCAAGAACGTATATGAACAGGTCCCAGTCCGAGAAAAGGATGGAAGGATCCTGTTCATATGGACCTGTCGTCAGACAGAACACTAAATAAAAAAAATAATAAAATGTGACGTCACTGGATATTGATGTCCACCGAAAGAATCGGCCACGGCTTTATATTGGTGCAGTGCGTAAAGCTGATTGAGCAAGACGGTTCTAAATACGAGTACAGTCTCACTTGCTGGTAGTTGACTTGGTGTTTCGAATGTTCTTACGATCTGTGACGGGCGAAAATATGTTTTTGCCCTAATGAAAAGTAAAGACCTCATTAGATTCTAGTGAGGAGGTCGATATGCCAGTAGATACAGAAGAAACTTGACTGAATGTAAGATGGAAAGATGTTCAATAAGCTCTAAGTTCAAATATTTGGGAACTATGGTTTCTTTTTGTATGGGTTTGAAACGTGGTATCTGTTCCTAAGGGAATGTATGCATTAATTTTGCTTCGGAGTAGGGTAATGATGATAATATTTCGACGTACGAGGAAAAGTGATGCGAAATTCTCTCAGGACCTGGTCACAATTTATATTAGCACTAGTGAAATGGTGACGTCACTCATTTTCAGTGTCAAAATCACTCAGACTGTTAAGTGACAGTGTCTCTATTAAAATCCGCTCAGTGTTTCGAATTCATTATAGTACTCCACCAGGCTTTTACATATTCTGACTGTTATAAGCATCCATCAAACTGTGAGAAATTTTTAAAACGCATAATTTTACCACGTGTTTAATATGTGCATGAGGAATTTGGTGTGTCGGGTTAAGGAAAGTGCATAGTTTAACGGTACTCAAGGAGAATATTTGGAAAATGGAATTTTCAGGAAAATGGGGAAAATATCATAACAAGTGTAGGTTCCGTATTATTGTAAGAAATTGTATATGGATGTTCCTCAAGGAAAATTCTTCCTCTTGTATGCATTCAAAAATGAAGACATCTTTACGTAATAAACAAAATATAATAAATGCTAAACCTCAGATGTCTTTGTTATGAGACCTTCATAGCAGCCGAGTACATCCTAACGTGAAAACACGTCATAAGTTCGTATTACTGATGTTCTTACTACATTTCTCTATTTCTCTCCTTAATCCTGTTCCCTATTCCTTAACTTCATTTCTTAACGTATTCTATTACACTATTTTTCAAATGTTTCATACAATCAAATCATCAAGTGATTAATACACTGCATACATTGAGGTAGCGATCTGCAGTGGTATTCAACCTCTTTTGTTCGCGTATCCCCAGATATAATTTCTCTTTAACTTCGTACCCCAAAGTTGTTGGTGTATAATTCAAGTTATACATAGCATATAATCTACATCTAAAATAAATTAAATAAATTACATTACTGATTATTCAGTGTTTATCATAAAATAATATATTTTTTTTAAATTTCACGTACCCCCTAAGATGTCTTCGCGTACCCCCACATATAATTTCTCTTCAACTTTGTACCCCCAAAGTTGTTGGTGTATAATTCAAGTTATACATAGTATATAATCTACATCTAAAATAAATTAAATAAATTACATTACTGATTATTCAGTGTTTATCATAAAATAATATATATTTTTTTAAATTTCACGTAACTCCTAAGATTCTTCGCGTACCCCAGGTTGAATACCACTGCTATAGATCAATATCAAGTGCTTGAAGAAAGAGGGACGCATAACGTAAAACATTCTAAGACATTAAACACTCGACAGTAAAAATCTCTCAAAATTTCTCCATATTTGAAAAAATCGTTATTGAGGCTGACGTTCTTGGAAACAGTTTTCCTTTAAGACAAACCCAAAGGAAGAAGTCGCTAGGATTTGTGTCCGGGCTACTGGGTGGCCACTTCTGTCCACAGCCATGGCCAACAGGATGTCGGTGAGAAATAACACTTGTACCTAAAGGGTTTTGTAGGAAGTTTGCTGTCTGTGGTGTAGCCCCATCTTGCATGAACCACTGTGCACTGAACGGCAAACCAGGGTGGGGCACGGAATTGGTACCCTATTTCTTTTAACGATACGTGCCGTCGAGTTATCACGTTCGTAGCCGTTAACGTTTCTGAAGTTGTATGACAGAACGTTGGTCATATTGAACACATTATACATAAAGATACATCTCCACGAATTGTCCTTGTGTGCACAGATACATATATGTAAATTATATCGATTAAACATGTGTTACTCATTGAGAATGAAAACAAGAGGGCCCTACGGGAGGCCAAAGTCTCTTATTCTCATGTCTGGAAAGAATTTAAAACAAGGAGAGTAAAAGACTCCCCCCCCCTTTTTTTTTTTTTTTTTTTTTTTTTTTTGAAATTGGTTCGCTCGTGTGTGTGCAGGTTCCCAGTCATTCTTTACTCCAAATTTCATTTTTGTTGTTTTTCCTTTCCTTTCCTTCTTCCTACACTTTATTCTTTCCTTCATAATTTCTTCACACCGATTACGTTTAACCATTATCCGTAATATGAAGTTCGCATCTCAATTATTATATTCGCCTTCTGGATTGTAACTCCACATGAACATGTACGTAGACACCAGGAGCACACTGCCTCCATCTTCATCCATCCCTGAGTACTAGTAAATGCTACTTCGAAACTCTGGTATCTGCCTCCAGTTTCACGCGGATATAAAACCCAGAAGACCATCTTCGACATTGTCACAGCTGTGAGACCTCAAAATTCGTATTGTATTCTTTTTTTAAGGTTCTGGATCCTCCACCTACCATTATCTTCCCGGAACCTGGAGGAAGCTTGGAAACTTCGAGATCTACCCTGGAGCTGGAAGCGGAGAGGGCAACCTCCCGTGACACCAGGTTAAGACTACGGTGCGAGGCTTGGCTCTTCAAGCTTTATCGGCGCAGCAGTGAAGAAGTCGAGCTTCATGAGGACACTCCGCAGATCGCATCTGTACTAGGTCCCAGCATAACGGGTGAGGTCATCATTTGTCATAAGGAGAGCCAGAGTGTATTTGTGATTTAAATCAAAGTAAAATTTGTCCCACTATACGCCATGTAGGCGCTTCGGGGGAGAGATCATATAGCTCCTACTCATTCTTTAACTCGGCACTAGATGGCATCACGCCCCGGCCGCGCTTTAACCCCGGCAAAGGAACCCGGTACCCATTTGATGGCTGCGAGGACCCCAGAACAGCTCTAGACACAGAGGCTATAGGAAATATCCTCTGCCCCCGTCGGGGATCGAACCCCTGGTCGCCAAGTCCTTAGCTAGTTACTACATTGACTATGATAGGGAAAAGATATTCTTGTAGGTATACGTAGACAATTTTAAATATCGACTAAATTATTTAGGGTTACTCAGAATCAGAAATGAGTCCTAAACGTTGAAAATATTACATATAATCTTGTCTGCTAATTATAAATGTATGCGTTACAGCTTAATTATCTTCGTAACACGTAAAGAATACTGCAGTTGAGTCCTGACTTGCAATTTTTCGTTAATTGTTAAATGAGCACTATATTGTTAATTAACACCCAATCCACTACTGTAATAAGCTGGGAAGTGTAAAAATATATTCATAAAGAGTAAACATATTTGCAAAAGAGTTCTTTGCTATCCCGCATATTTGATACTTAATTTATTATAGATAAAAATCCATTTTTGAAAAGTATATCACACCGTGAAAACTCAGAAACAATTTATCTTATAAGCTGTTGAATACATCAAATATAATGAGAATAATGTTTGATGTCACGACGCAAAATTTGTATTATGAGCTGTTTCTTATAAAAATCTAGAAAATTTTAAATGAGCTTCACGTAAACTGTGGTTAACATTGGAACGACGGAACAAAAAATAACTGTAGATCCACAATATGAATTTCTGCCAACATCCGTTGAATAATTTCTGATATAAAACAGCCTTACAGACGAGTTCATATATGATCTCCCTATTAAGCATGAAATCTTTGAAACCGAAGCTTGTAATTAACTAACAAACCAATTAATCACGCAGCGAAGCGCAAGATTTAGTCCAATGATAGGTTAAATCATTCCTGCGTTAAAACACAAAGCTTATCTTGAAAAAGAGTGTTTTGTGAGCTACATCTGGAGACATGTCAGGGATTTGGCTGGACTTATTCAGAGTAGCGTCTAGTCTAAATAATTTGCCTATATGACAATTAAGTCACAGCCTAACACGACATTTCTCTGTTACAAATGTTAACTGGTAAATGTTTTTTAACGAATTAATCTCTATTTGTTTAAATCTTATCAGTCTAATCACAATAAAATTCCTATTAAATATTAAAATATTACCATAATTAACATTTAAATATTTAAAATATATTAAATGCTATTCTCTATCGAAATGTTCGATTTACATTAGAACATCACTTTTTACACGACATGTTTCAGTTCTAAATGAACCATCTTCAGGTGTATAAAAAATTATATAAACTTAAATATAATTTCTTAAATGCAACTTTTAGTCAGATGTTTATCAGATTTCAAATGATGTTTCCTTCTAGATTTTATTGTATTTTAATATCGTATTCGAAGTTCTGGATATGTACGTCGTGCTTAACATGATTTTTGTGTGGGTGAACGTTCTGTTGTTGTTTTTTATGATCCTGAAAAAGTAAATAATATAAAGACTAAATGAATTAATCTCTGTTTATACTGACAACCATACTTATATACCCAAAATTCATTATACTGACTCTAGAAGGTATATATTATTACCACTAGGATCTTAAATAGGTAACTACAATCACATAATGTTACCAACACGTACAAATCAATGACCAACTAACGTTCTATATTGTACGACATATCGAAGAACTGATTTAATGAATGATTTATTGATGTAGGATCAGATATTGCTATTTCATAAGCATTAGCATTTGATATGTTACAATCGCATTATCCTGCTTTGAGGTTGATGCAGAATATAACTATCCTATTACACATTTAGTAATTAGTAAGTATTCTATACACGTTAAACGCATTACAAAAGGCGCTGGACTACACGGCGGATGATATTTGAACTTCCCAGCCCAAACAACATAATGACGGAAACAATTTACGTCATAAGATGGTAAGGTTGCGTCATATTGTGATATAATAAGTATATATTAAGTCTTGTCCGTCTAATCACAATAAATTCTTATTAAATATTAAAATATTACAATAATTAACATTTAAAAATATTTAAAATATTAAATGATGTTCTTTATCGAAATATTCGATTTACATTAGACCATCATTTTTCATGTTTCACGACATGTTTCAGTTCCTAAAACAACCATCCTCAGGTGTATATAATTATATAAAGCTTCAAAACGATAAATAATTCTGGTAAAAATGTAATAAAAATGCACGCTGGCATAATGTATGAAAATTGTATTTGAATTATTTATATTTTTGAAGCTTTATATAATTATATACACCTGAGGATGGTTCTTTTAGGAACTGAAACATGTAGTGAAACATGAAAAATGATGGTCTAATGTAAATCGAATATTTCGATAAAGAACATCATTTAATATTTTAAATGTTAATTATTGTAATATTTTAATATTTAATAAGAATTTATTGTGATTAGACGGACAAGATTTAATATATAATATATAAATTTACGTCATATAAACTATTTAAAGTAAATCTTCTGCCCAGAAAGAAAGATCAGAAAGGTTTTTCTATTAAACATGAATTTTAGTTTAATTGTCTTGTGCCTGCAACTCTTTTCACATTGTCACAGCTGAAAATCAAATCCAAAATTTCTTGGTTTACCTAATAATAAATAATGAGATGGTAAAATGGTGGGAAAAATGGTAATTTTTTTTATAAAATTCTATCTGACACTGCTTGGGGGACATGAGAAAAAACAAAGAAACATTTTCCGGTGTGTAGGCCGAGATACAACACGTGGAATCTAACGTATAAAATGTAAAGAATGCTCACCAGAGAACATCAAAATTTGATGAGGAAACCCAATGATTTGTGGTAGCCTGACCAGTAATCTGTCATTATAAAATAAAACTATTTTGCCTTTTTCCTTTCCCATCAATGAAGTTTGAAACAAAATGGGAGATGCTTTACTTCAGGTTTATTAATATGAATATCTGAGATTTACAGAGTAAATTTTCAATGCATTCGGATTTCTATTTTATGTGTCACTTTTCTTCCCAGAACTTGATATTTAAATACAGCGTAAGACGTGCATTAACAGACTAAGAGCCAATTACTGGTTTGATTGTACAGTCTTTGTAAAAGCAATGCAATGATGTACAGTCACGTTCAGAAGTGTAATTATGGAATAAGTCATCAGATTAAATAGACATAAATGAAGAAATACAGAAAGGAACAAAGAAAAAACACATGTCGCAATGTAAAATACAGATTTTTCTTTATAAGTAAGAATATATGATGGTTGTTTTGCGAGACAACACAACAAAAAGTTTTAAGGCATTAAACATTTACTCTGCATTACGTTGAACAATGGGATCATTGCCGAATATCCACGTAATTTAGTCGCAAACTGGAAAGGATTAGGAAGGAAGCGGTATTGAAATTTTGGGAAATTTCCTAAAATTTTTCTTGAGTTACGAAAGAAACCTGAGGAAAACGTGAATCATTACAGCCGGCTTCCTGACCGACATTTGA